CTACTGAAGTCATGCTCCAGGCTTCTCCCTTTTGTGATATGAGACAATCTTGTAGGGATGTAGAGTGGGACTGTTTTGTCAGGAGGCTCAGGGGTGGAATTGATGGCCTTGAGATGACAAAGAGTTCCCAGTCGGTTTCAATGTGAGTAAAATCACCTGGATTACAACCAGCTTTTGCTTTCAAATGTCTTTGAAAAACAAACCATCTCCAATCTTCTTTGTAAATATTTAGCTATAATAAATGATTTGTAGTAGTCAGAGCCAACATTTGGGGGGTTTAACCAGAAAGGAACCTTTCTTGGTGTGTTTTGAATGGGAGTTGGGTGGTGGTGCAATGGTTTGAACATTATATTACCATTCTGGAGACCAGGGTTCCACTCCCACTTAGATTTGGAAATTCCCTGGGTGATCTTGGGCAAGTCACAGTCTCTGAGCCTCAGAGGAAGACAAAAGCAAAACCCCTTTGAACAAATTTTGCCAAGAAGACCCTGTCATAAGGCCCCTTAGGGTTGCCACAAGTCGAAACTTACTTGAAGGCACACAACAACAACAGCTGAGAGATAAAAGTGGCTTTACTACAGATCTCACTCCTTTTAGGTACTGACTTCCAGTTTCTTTTGTTGTTAGGCTTAGGTTGTTTGTCTTTAGGTAAACTGGATCATCTATACTATACTTGATCATGAAATATAACCTCGTTTTGGCAGAACTCATTAAACTAAACAGAAATTGCCCATGGAAATCAATGTGCATGCAAGGGGGAAGGGTATAATGGTAGATTATCAAATTCTGACCCTGAGAGTTGTTTGGAAGCTATTTATTTGCTTATATTTTAATATCCCACCCTTCCCCAAGGAACTCAGGAGTGTCATATAAACAACCCACGTTTTTATCCTCAGAATGAGCCTATAAAGTAGGTTAGTCTGAAAGGGAATTAAGTGCTCAAGTTCTCTTGGTGAGCTTCAAGGGTGAATGGGGATTTGAACCTGGATATTTTTGGTCTGAGTTCTACCATCTAGTCATTACAAACCATTGCTTCTGTTGTAGGATCGGTTCCATGGGTCTGAGCAGAGGAAAAGAGGGCTGCCAGGGAAGGATGGTTAGCAAGAATTCTTATTCCCTTTTGCAGCTGTTGTTTGGTTTATATAGGTATATAAGATATAGTGACAGTATTTCATAGTTGGACATTTGAGGGAAAGCCAATGTAATACTCCAACTTTCTGAGGTTTGGGGATGAAATGCATGGAGAACATAAAGAATAAATGCATGCAGAAAATAAAGACTAACACATAAAACTCTATTTGCTTTGATATAATGGAACAATACAAAGCTGAGATCCCATGCACATTTGCAATGCAGTCCTATGCATTTTTACTCTGAAGTATAGTCCACAAAGTTCACTGTTGCTTATTCCCAGGCAAGTATATATATAGGACTGTAGTCTTACAGGGCATCCCCATGTCTTTCTACTCAGGGGCCTCCTGCAAAGTAAAGTATGTATAGGTTCACAGCATTACTTGGACAAAAATGGCATTGACATCAAGGAGGCTTACATCCAAATGAAACACATTTAGAATTGGAGGGCCAAGACCCAATCCAGAAGACAATCCATCTGCATGGGTCCACAGCTGAGTTCAGAAGACTGAAACCTATTTCAAGGCAAAAACTAAGGGGAAATTCTCTTGTAAACTTAAGATCCCTTAGGTGAAGGTCCCATTTATTTCAATTTGCACCCCTCTCCTAAGGTTTGTGTCCCCAATTTTTTTTCTTCAGAGGTGGGGATGAAAATTAGATGTGAATAAGAAAAAGAGGACAGAAACTGCTTTAAGAGAGGATGGTTGCTTATCCTATTCTGTTAATGCATTTGAATTATGCCCCGGTGGATCAGAAAAGGAAGGGATCGCTAACTCTGTGGAAGTGAATGTATGAATGAGCATGTGTTTGCATGAGTGGGAGGAGGATCAATAAAGTGTTTAAAATATTATTTATCTCATTTCTATGTTTAGAAACTGTAACAGTTTTGCTAATTATCTGTAGCACTGAAGATCTACCCCGAGTTAATAAAGAAATATGCATACAACGCAAACGAAAACTGTTAACGATTTTTACACATTCTGTTTTGAGTTTGTAGAAAAGTAGCCCAGGAGCACAGTCGTTATATTACCCCAATCGATGAATAAACCGATAATGAACACAAATGGGGAAATGTGTTATGATTTAATGAAGCTGGGTGGCTAGCAAATACAAAGACCTAGATGGGGGGGGGGGACTCGGGGAGAGAGAATGCCCTGGCTTGGTCTTCTCTGTATGGCTGGTGGTTGAGGGTGGTTTCGGAAAGAAAGAAGGATACAAAGGAATTAAGAGGTAAAAAGAAGGAAAGAAAGAGAAAGGGATAGGTGTGGATGAGAAAGGAAGAACAAAAAAGCAGGGACACTGGTCATCTCCAAGAACCATCATCATCATTACTACTAGTACCATCATTACTACTACTGTTGTTGTTCTCACCAGGATCTCACAAATTTTGCCGGGCACTGTACTTTTTTCTCCACTTTTTCCACATGGA